ATGCGCTATTCAAGGAAGGACATTTTGGAAAGTTCTGTTTTGACAAATTGTGATGGTTTTCTGTAAAAGGATCGTTGAGCCTTTTTAGGAAACTTTGTATTTTGTCCCTATTTTTTTGTAGGAGATTATGCTTATGATTCCAAGCTGATTCCTGATGAACTGCGCCTCAAGAGACCAAACCCACAAGGTATGAAGGCTATTTAAAGAAGACCTAAACCTAATGTATCTCACAGCTTTCACTTTTGTAAAATAAGGGGAGGTTTTGTAGTGTTAGGTTTCGAGAGTCTTGTGACTGTTAATTGTATGTCACCTTTTATATCTTCTGATGCATTGTGGTAGACTGATTTTGTATTGTTAATTGTCCATTCTAAAGCTTGTAAGTAAGAGTGTATTGTTCTTGGTTGAAACTTTTAAGAAAATCGAGTATTGTAGTTGGAAGAATGTTTTTCTTCTTTTTGATTTCACGAGGTATTGTCACTAGGATTGTGACTGATTAGAAAGTGAAAGGGGGATCTCATATCTAGAGGGTTTCTAGGTAGAAGTTGCACAAGGTAATGCTTAGGGGAGAAGTTGTGAACAGGGGAGTTTAGCTTTGGACTAATGCTATCATAGTGAATTTTCTTCCTGCCTTGAATGCCCCCAGATGTGGGTGATGTTGCACAGAACTAGGTTATCAATTGACTATGTTATTTTTATTTTTGCAATTTATTTTTCAGTCTGGTTTATTTGTTCTGTCAGACAGAAGATGTTGTAACATCTGTCTCGACATTATGTTCTGATGTAAGGACATCAGTTTCAACAAGTGGTACAAGTGCCAGAATTTTAGCGTTGACATACAATGATACCTTGTGAGGAGTGTGCAACTTCGAGACAAGAAAGTATTTGAGACGACAAAGGTTTTTGATTTAGAAAGTTTGGTGGAAAACCTATTTGATGTGATCAAATTCACTTAAGGAATTCCCTGCAATGATTATGTCGTCCACATACACTAAGAGAAGTGTGAATGTGTTGCTACTTTGCTTGGTGAAGAGAGCGTGATCAAAGTTGGCTTGTTTGTAATGTTGAGCAAGAAGAGTAGATGTGCGATTTTCATGCCACTTATGACTTTTGTTTAAGTCCATATAGGGACTTAATAAGCTTGCATACCTGGTTTGGTTTGGTGGATGTGATATCATGTAGACATCTTCTTGCAAATCACCATTCTGACATCCAATTAGTGAATAAACCAATTATGGATGGTGGTCAACGCAATCACCATTCTGACTGTGGTCGTCTTATCTACACGTGGGTAGGTATTAAAATAATCGAGGCCTTTAATTTGATTAAGTCCTTTGGCCACGAGGCGTGCTTTGAATCTTTCAATTGAGTCATCTGCATGAAATTTTACCTTGTAAACCCATCTTCACCCAATAGGTTTGGTGTTGGGTGTTTCATCAACAAGTATCCATGTTCCTATTCTTTCAAGAGCTGACACTTTAGCTTGCATGGCTTGATTCCAACACTCAGACTTACTAACTTCAACATATGTTCTTGGCTCATGTAGGGTATTGATGGACATTATGAGATGATGAAGGGAAGGAGACAAAGAAGAATAAGACAAATAATCAAAATAGAATATGATGTACCTGATGATGGTTGGTGTGTCTGATAAGTGAATGAGTTGCACAAGTAATCTTTGAGGTAAGATGTTATATGTTTGATTCGAGTGGATTGTTTAGGGACTTGGTTAGAAGTGGTTGGTGGTACATCAGGTATGATAATGGGAATGGTTTCTTCATTGTCAGGTAAGATATGTGTTGATGAATTGGTGGATTGTGGATGGGAAGGTGGGTTAGGAATGGGTGATGGTGTGTTAGTAATAGGTAAGTTAGTTGTTGTAGGGATTTGGTTGGTGCATGTTGGGTGAGGGGTGTGATCTGGTTTATGAATCTGGTAGATATGCCAATTTGAAATAGATGTGGATTTGTGAGTGGCATAAGGTATAATGTTCTCATGAAATGTTAGGTTTCTTGACACAAATGTTTCATTTGTGTGTAAGTAAAGTAAAATTCTTCCTTTGATGTCTGCCTTGTAACCTAAGAAAACTGCCTTTCTAGCTCTAGTATCAAGTTTGGATATATGAGATTATAGGGTAGAGGCATATGTCAGACATCTAAAAACTTTGAATTCTTGAATTCCAAGAAGTTTTTCATATAGTATGTGATAAGGTGATTTGTGGTTGAGTAAGGGTGAGGTAATTCTATTCATGAGGAAAATAGTATGTTGGAGGGCATAGGACCAAAAATGTTTTGGAAGTTTGGATTGGTAAAGAAGGGCTCTTCCTATATTGAGGATGTGTTGGTGTTTTCTCTCAACGCAGTCGTTTTTTGAGGTGTCTCAACACAAGAACTTTGTTGTTGAATGCCTTTGGAACCATAAAATTGAGGCATGATGACCTCAGGGGCATTGTGACATGGTGTTGAGTTTCAACCATGATAATGAATTCTTTAACATGTGAGGCAACATCAACTTTGGATTTTAAGCATAAAATCCATGTGAATCTTCTATGGTCATCAACGGTAAGGAGGTATCTGTGACCATGGGCAGATTGAATGGAAAGTGGGTCCTAAATACAAAATGCCACAAATTATATTTTGATTGAGCATGAGATATGCTAATTTGAAATGGTAACTTCTTTTGTTTAGAAAAATGGCATATGTCACAATTGTTGGATTTATTATGAGAAATATTAGGGTAAAATTATGTCATGTGAGAAAATTTATTATTGGATAAGTGGCCAAGTCTAAAATTCCATAAGGGAAGAAGGAGGAATTGTTATAGTACAAGAAGAAGTATCTAATGTGATTACGTTTTTCAGGTCATGAGAGATATGGTTAAGCTGGTAGGTAGTGCTAGTGTTTACTTGTAGCTGGTATAACCCATTCATTGAGTCAGCCAAACCAATCATATGAGATGTCTTCACATCTTGTATGTGACAAGAAAGTGCATTGAGTGTGACTTGACATTTAAGAGATTGACACACTTTTGAGATAGATATGAGGTTCAAATGAAACTCAAGTGAATATAGCGCATTGGTGATATATAACTGAGGTGAAAATTGAACATTACCAGCATGGTGGACAAGGACCGAGTTACCATTTGGTAATGCACTTCAATAAGCTTAATTTTATAAAAGGATGTAAAGTATGATTAGGAAGAACAAATGTGGTTATAGCTCCAGAATCAAGGAGCCACACTGTGTTATTATGACTTACAGAGCAAGTAATTACACTAGGGATACCTGACTGGTGAGTCTAATCTGATGAATGATTAGCATGAGCAGAAATTGAAGTGTACAATTGATTGGTACTTGATCCAGTTTCAGGACATGCTGAAGGAATCGAGTTTGTTTGTTATAAAAAGTTCATGAGCTGATCATACCTCTCTTGAGTGAGATTAGGATTAGTGGTTTCTTGCTGATTAACCTCGGGAGCACTGGATTGAGACTCAATGACATTGCTGCTAGATGAATGAGGCTTATTGATGTTGGGACGTCCATGCTTTTGATAACAAAAGTCAATTGTATAATCATATTTGTGGCAATGTGTTCAGTATCTTGAAGTCATATGCATTGGCAAGAATATGGTCCTCCACAACTGGTGCAACATTGCAGTTGCTTTCTTCTTGTGCCAGAGTATACTTAGTTGATGGATGGTAAGCATTCCATGAGAAGAACTTGAGTTTTGACCATAGAAAACTGATCATTTAATCCAGTTAAAAATTGAATGACTTGATCTTCAAGAATATATTGTCTTTCTGATCTCATGGGTTCACATCTACATGGATGAGGGCAAGCACATAATGAAATTGGACGATAAGTAGTGATCTCATCCCAAAGAGCTTTCATCTCAATGAAGTACTCAAGCATAATTTTGACACCTTGTTTCATGTTATTCAGTTGGAATCTCAAATGAGCTACACAAACTTGATCAATCTTAGAGAATCTTTCTTTGAGATCATTCCGCACATCAATGAAATTTTCACTGAAAACAATGGTTTGAGCAATAGAATCAGAAATAGAATTGATGAGCCAAGAGTGTACCAGATGGTTGCGTCGTTCCCATGCAGCTCGATTCAAATCATCAAAATATGGAATCTCCATGGATCCATCAATAATAGCAAGCTTGTTCTTCGCTCCAAGTGCTATACGCATTGATCTGCTCTAAATTGCATAGTTGTTTCCATCGAGCTTGGATGCGATGGTTACTGAGTTTGGACCATCTCTCGGATGCACGTAAAACGGCGAGTCAGTTTGTGCAGGTGGTTGAGTCTTTGGTGGCATGGTGACACGATACAAATCAGATGGAAGGAAGCGGAAGAACAATGAAGAACAATGGCTGGATTGAAGAAAATCACAAGTTTCAGTGGAAAACATGGAACAAGAAAGAGCATTCAAGGATCTTGAGAAAAGAAGAATGAAAAAAAAACTCAAGAAACTTGAAGAAGAAGAAGAATGAAGATCACAAAATCTCTTTAACAGAGAGCTCTAGATACCACGTAATGAATAGAAAATTGATGAGTAAAATGATCTTCATTGTTTAGTCAAGAGGTTACATGAGATATATATATATACAAGGCTCTTAAGGTGCATGATAGTTATGGTAGTACAACAATACACAATAAAATCTCCTAACTACTATAACTAACAAGTGTAACAAACTAACAACCTCTAACTAATAGTTGTGAATAGTAGTTTGAGGAACAAGTTAGTTGTCTCTAACTTGTTCATGGTGTAATAGAATGAAATAATGATTACAATATGTGTAGAGTGCACTTTGTACCGTGATTCTAAGCTAACTAACATAGCCAACTAGAAACTAATTATAACTAACTAAAATTACCTAAATCAGTATCAAAATAATAACTCCAACAAATCTCTAATTTTATCTAACAGAAATGAAATCGAGTTGCAACGACCTTTGAGGCTTCCACGGACAACAATGATGATAATGATTGATGAACTAGAGCTTGTTTTGTCTATGGTGGGGGATGTTATTGTTGAACTCGACTATAGCTGTTGGTGGAAGGAAACCTGAGCTGATTTCATACACTGCTTTGAAGAGAGGAAACATATCTACGCATCCGCGAATCACCAGAACCTCGTGAACCTCTTTTGCCGTTAATACACCCTTCAATATTCAACAGAATTTGATGAATGATGACTCATGAATCATTTACATAAATACTGTTTGGATTTTGATCAATGCAAATTGACTCTATTCATATGTGATTCCTTATACTCTTTGCATTTATCAGAGTCATTTAGAAATATACACATTTGAATTTATCAGTATGTTGGTTTTATGTATATTACCTGCAATTTCTGGCCTTTAAGCATCTGTTCTTCAAGTTCATCAAAAGACCTATAGGGAAAAGAAACACAAAAATAGTTACATCAATTGTGGTATAACCAGAATCAAGCAAACCGACAAATTGGTCGGTTCGCTGTTCAACCGTCTAGTTCAGGATGGTTTGTAAAAAGTTGCATCCAAGTACTGTGGACAAAAAGGAGAAAACCAAACCTCTTTCCCCCATTTAGTGCAAAAGCCTCAGCAACTTTCCTATTTCTTCCACCCACTGCCACAAATAAGTCATTGCCTTAATCAAACCAAGAAAACCAGTGAGAAAAAAAAATAGGATTATCTAAATCATTTTCTTTACAGCATGTTGTGATAAGGTCAGCTACACCACAGCTCTCAAATAATGTACTGTCTTTAACAGATGGAAACAACAACTTCGAAAATGCTAACATCTCTTTCAGACCAATTCTCATGATTGCAGCCTACACATTGTAAAGATCATCATGGTTTTAAACCCTTATATTGTGGTAAAATGCGGACAAATACACCCGCAATCGCGGTTGCAATGCTATTACAGACTTACAAAACTGTTATACTACAAACCACTATTTAAAACTGTTATACTTACTTTTGTGTTATTTCCCATCTTCAAGCCATCAATTAAACCTGCAGCTACAGCCACTATATTTTTCAGGGTTCCACACATTTCAACACCTTCAATATCCTGAACCTATATTAAATAATAAAGCGAAAATCATAAACATAAAGTGCATTTCAGCATTTCAATTTCAAGTAACTTAACTGTTTAAACATGAAACTTTCAAGAAAAGGACATGCTGCTCTCACAGATGTCACACTAAAATAAGGAGTGTTGAACAACTGAACCCATCTCTCTGCAGCTTCTTTGTCACGGCGGTATCCAACAGTCCCCTCGCTAAATTCCTCCTTTGCAATCTGTTAAAAGATTTGTACAATTAAACAATCAATGAGTATATGATATAAGACTCTCTTAGATTAAAAAAGTTTATAGATAGATTCTTGTAGCTACCTCATCTGCTATATTGGCTCCCATTAATACACAACAATTGATTCCCAATTGATTGGAGATTAAAGTAGAGATCAAGGATGGTCCTTCCCTCTTCACCTCCATCCCTTTAACAAGGGAAATCCCTTCTGCATCTTTCCTTATTTTCCCGTCAAGCCTTTTGCATACTCCTTCCATGAATTGATGCGGTGTTACAAATACCAACAGGTTTGCATTTTTCACTGCATAATTATTAACCATTCAGAAAGGGCGTGCAAGACGGCTTATACCACAAGATCTCACATTTTTTCATGATTAATCTATGGCAAAAAGGCCTCCATACGCATATTACAAAGTTAATTTAAGGTTAAATAGATTCCCTTACAATTTTTTTACGAATTAACTGAAACTAACTTCAACTTCTTACACAAAGTCTCTCAAATGTTTGAGACGACTCTGTTCAGGATACATATGATTGAAGAAAGGGAAGAGTAGAATTGATATAAATATACCTGCATTTAAAAGGTCTGGATCTGCAACTACATTTTTGCCAAGCTTCACTCCTGGGAGATACTTAACATTTTCCTGTCATGCATGAAGAAACAGTTATTATTACATAATAGTAGTTAATATTCATTGAAGAAACATATATTATATATGCAATTGGAATGAAATATGCATGGCTAGTCCTTACATTGGTTTGGTTGATGACATCTGAGAGCTTCTCTCCACTTGGTAAAGTTTCTTCGTATACCCACATTCTAACTTCATCTGATTATATATTCAAGCATGCTATTAAAATAAGAAATGAAAAGTTTGTTTATGGTTCACACCGCATGCATGACCTAAATAAAATGCAGAAGAAAATGTATACCATTGAAGGAATTGAGGTTGATGGTGTTAGAAGCAATAAGCTTTGCCGCAACACTTCCCCAATTACCACTACCAACAATGGTGATATTATTCATGATGATGTTAATTATTCTTCCTGATTTCAAGCACAAGCTATAGAGAGGAGCAAGAATGTGGCAGAAAAGAGAAATAGAATTTGTTGTGAGTAATTAAGATATACCATACACGTTTCATGAGAAACCGTGTTAAATGCGGTGGTTTATTACACTATACACTAGAGCATGAGCATGATTTCGTGGTTTGTAATTAACACATGGTTAATTCTTAATTAAAATGGTAGAAAAATAAGTCACACAAAACAAAATATTTCCTTTATTCGTTTTTTTAATGCGCACAATATAGAAAAATAAACATGTATATATTTTGTATGAATTTTTTATCATACTTAGGATTAAAAATAATGTTTTTAGATATCTTCAAATAGTCTTAAAATATGCGATGTTTTTTATTGCGCATACTATATAGGTAAATCACTCCTTTACTGAAAGCATGGATGAATCCACTTATAGTGGAATGGGGTCAAGTGATCCCACTTAATTTTTTTTTAAAAATTAATAATAATTAATTTTGAAATATTGACCCCACATTAAATGTATCATTGTCTCCATACTACTCATTTGATTTGAATTCTAGAAACCATAAATCTGACTATTAATTTTCTTTTATTATTTAAAAAAAAAAGAAAATAAAAATTAAAAAGACATAAGTAAATTGTATTTATATAGATTTTTCTAATCTAATTATAAATCAATTTACATACATACTCTATTTTTTGTCTTCTTTCTTCTACACACTTTATTTTTTCTTCACAAATCTCTTACTTTTAAATCTTATTTGTTTTTATTGTTTTATCATAGTAGAGTTAAAAGACAATATTCAAATAAGTTTCTCCCTTCATTCTTTTTGTTGTTGTTGTATATTATATTATTATGTTGTGATTTCATATTTTTGTATCAATTTTTATCATGTTTTTAGTTTTAATTTTATCCTTGTGGAGTTGTAGTTCAATCAAGTAACTAATTAGTGTTAAATTTTTATGTGTTAGAAATGGAAAAATATTTTAAAAGAAAATCAACATTGGAGTCTCAACAAGTTAATGAAGTGGAAAATGCATTTGCACAACAAGTAGGGCCATCTTTGAAAAAAAAAGATTTTTAAATGTTGATTTAGATGATCTTCCTGTTGATCCTGGAGAAAGGAATCAAATGGCATGTTATCATCCAAATGATCGAGATGAAATCCGAAGAGCTTATTTACAAAAAAGGGCCTTGTCAACCAAAGGACCATAATTTTCCATAACGACAATTTGGTACGTCTTTACGTAAGTTCAATCCTGATTGGTTTCTTGAATTTGGTAGTTGGTTGGAATATAGTGTATCAAAAGATGTTGTTTTTTGTTTATGTTGTTACCTTATGAGACATGAGATAGGAGAACACAAAGGTTTGGATGCATTTGTAACTGAGGGGTTTTCAAATTGGAAAAAGAAAGATAGACTCAATGTCCATGTTGGAGGTCCTAATAGTGCTCACAACCAAGCTTGGAGAAAATGTAATGCACTAATGAATCAAAAATAACATATTGAAGTTGTTATCAACAAACAATCTGACTTGATCAAAAGGAAATATCAGATTCATTTAACTGCAATATTTGATTGTATTTGACTTTTATTAAAGTTGGGATTAGCATTTCGCGGTGATGATGAATTAGTGGATTCAAAGAATAAAGGTAATTTTCTCGAGATTCTACAATTTCTTTGTAATCATAATGAAGAGATTGATAAAGTATTGAAAAAATCTCGTGGAAATCTCAAATTAGTGTCACCTAGCATTCAAAAAGATATTGTGAAAGTTGCTGCTTCTGAGACCACAAAAGTTATTATTGATGATCTTAACAATAATTTGTTCTCTATTTTAATTGATGAATCTCGAGATGTTTCAGTTAAAGAGCAAATGGGTGTTGTTTTACGTTATGTAGACAAGAAAGGATGTGTCATTGAGAGGTTTCTTGGTATTGTTCATGTTGCAAATACAAGTGCTATGTCTTTAAAGTTAGCACTGGAGTCCTTATTGGCAAAGTACAATTTAAGCTTATCAAGAGTTCGTGGACAAGGATATGACGGGGCAAGTAATATGCAAGGAGAGTTTAATGGCCTCAAAAGTTTGATATTGAAAGAAAATAAGTGTGCATTCTATGTTCATTGTTTTGCTCACCAACTTCAGTTGGCCCTTGTAGCGGTTGCTAAAAAGCATGATGACATTGCTTGGTTTTTTCTTGTAGTTAATAATTTATCTAATGTTGTTGGAGCTTCATGCAAGCGTAGAGATATTCTTAGAGAAAGTCAAATTCTTAAAGTAATGGAAGCATTAGAGAGTGGAGAAACTTTAATTGGTCGTGGCTTGAATCAATAAACTACGCTAACAAGAGCTGGAAATACTAGATGGGGATTACATTATGGTACATTACTAAGGTTGGTTTCTTTGTTTCCTTCTGTGTGTGATGTGCTAGATATGATTTTAAAAGATAGCCTTAGCGCAGAGCAACGAGTTGAAACTCGTCAATTATTGAATACTTTACAATCCTTTGAATTTATTTTTAAATTGCTTTTGATGAGAAATATATTGGGAATTACTAATGATTTATCTCAAGCACTGCAAAGAAAAGATCAAGATATTATAAATGTTATGGCGTTTGTTAAAGTATCGAAGGAAAGATTACAAAATATGAGAGAAGATGGTTGGTCAAGTCTACTCGATGAAGTGTCATTATTCTGTGAGAAGCATAATATTGACATTATAAATATGGATGATGCCTTCATGTTACATGGAAAACCAAGTCGTAAAGTTGAAAAAGTTTCAAACTTGCATCACTTTCAAGTCGAGGTCTTTTATCAAGTGATTGATAGACAATTTCAAGAACTGAACAATAGATTTACTGAGGTGAATAGTGAATTGTTTATTTGTGTAGCAAGTTTAAGTCCACGAGATTCATTTGTTGCATTTGACAAGGAAAAGTTAATTAATCTGGCTCGATTTTATCCATCCGAATTTTCTTTGGTAGAGCTTATGGGACTCGACAATCAACTTGAAAATTACATCATGGATGTTTGTTCTAGTGAGCAATTTTCTAATTTACAGGAAATTAGTGATCTTTCAAGAATGATGGTGGAGACTAAAAAACACATTGCTTATCCAATGGTGTACTTACTTTTGAAGTTGGCATTACTTTTGCCTGTGGCTACGGCAACCATTGAAAGAAGTTTCTCATCTATGAATTTTGTGAAGAACCAACTGCGCAACCGTATGGGTGATGAATTTTTGAATGATTGTTTGGTAATATACATAGAGAGTGATATATTTGATAGTGTTGAAAATGAAAAAAATCTTACAACACTTTCAAAATATGAAGACATGTAGAGAGCAATTATAATCTTTGAATATTATGTTGTCTTCATTTTTTTTAATATATATTTGTACTTTATTTTGTAATATTTAACTTTTAAGATATATATTATCATTATCATTTTATGCATAAGTATTTATATTTTTTTATAAATATTTATATTATTTGATTTTTATTTTTGTATTAAAAAAATTAATCTTGACCCCATTAATTAAAATTTCTGGATTCGTCCCTGACCGGAAGAGTCTATATAGTATAACCTTCGAAAGGAGAGAAGTTTTCCTTTTGATTATTGTTATCTCATGTCAAAGGTCCAACTAATTGGAAATATCTTCTTACAAATAATGATAGTTTGTTTAATACATTTAAAAGATCAGTTGAGGATACAGGATTTCTAGAGACTGATCATAATATCTGTGATTGTTTGATTGAGATTGCGGCTCTTCAAAGGCCATATGCTTTAAGGAGGTAATTCGTGACAAAACTATTATTTTGTGAACCTAACCCTATACCAATCAAAGTATGCTTAATTTTAATATCTTTTTCCAATTAAAAAACTCGCCGATATATATTTTTATTTTTCTAAAACGTGTAAGATATCAAAATTATTTGTTGAAAATTTTACAATTATTTTGAATATTCATAATGCAGATTTAAATTAGCATGAACATCATTAAAATAAATAAACACATTTTTAACATATTAGAGATATTTGTGACATCAAACGTTCAAATTCTAACTATAAGCATCAAGCCAATATTTAAAATAAGTTATTAGTTTGATTCAATAACTAAATTTTGTAATTAATTTTTAATGGGTAGTTGAAATGGAATCGGAGGCCATATTTATTTAATAAAAAATAAAAAATAATCTATTAATTTATAACTTGTTTTATATATATATATATATATATATATATATATATATATATATATATATATATATATATATATATATATATATATATATATATATATATATATATATATATATATATATATATATATATATATATATATATATATATATATATATATATATATATATATATATATATATATATATATATATATATATATATATATATAAAATTGTTGCAAACACATGATTCTAGAAACTTAGAAAGAAAACCAACGCCTTGAAATAAATTTTAAATTTTTGTAGACCAATAAGTACACAATTAAGTGTTAACCTTTATTGTCAAGAATAAAAAAAATTAACATAGATTTGAAAAAAGAATGTAATATTTGTAATTGCAAGAAAAAATATTGTGAGACAAAATTGGACATATTTCAATTCAAGTTAGATGATGTTTAAAAAATAGAAAGTGAGAAATACTCTCAAATTCATTTTATTGAACCTTTATGATTTTTACCAAAACCAGATTTGGTTATGAATAACACGGGTTTGGAAAATATTAATATTTACCCTATTTCAACTTAAAAGTATTCTTATTATTAAAAAAAAACATAAGCAAAATATAAATGGAATAAAAGAGACGATAGAATATGTAACAGAAAATCTCACCGTCACTGTGAATGACTGTATAATTTTAAAAAAATTCTTCATTAAAGGCTTATAAATTTGCATAGGATAATTCATTACAACCTAACTAAATATAATTATTAACTTTTTAAATAATTCAAATAACTGCTC